ATATTATATTATATTATATTATATTATATTATATTATATACTATATTATATTTCGTAGAAAATGATTATTTCAGATTTCCGAGCCCGAATAAAAATCTGCTCTCTCGTCAACAATATCTAAGCATTCGAATAAATATTGGCACTAAATAAACACGTATTTCCTTCGTCATTCAACAAATTATTACGAAATTATTATTATTATATTGCTGAAATTATAAAGACTGTTTCATAGAAAATGATTATTCCAGATTTCCGAGTCCGAATAAAAATCTGCTCTCTCGTCAACAATATCTAAGCATTCGAATAAATATTGGCACTAAATAAAAATACGTATTTGCTTCGTCTTCCAACAAATTCATCGTCCGACTAAATTCTTGAATGGTTTAAATATTAACGACAAGAAAGAACAATGCTTGATTGCGACTTGAAAGTACGGAACAGTATTCGCACCGAGCGGTTTATTAACCCTTTGCACTCGAAGCCATTTCAACTCGAAATCTAAAATAGTTTCTTTGACCTATAGTACTTCCAAAAATTACACTTCGCGCAGTTTTTTTTTTAAATATAAGCAAATTCGATGATGTTAAAAAGTATCATCGAACGTGGCATAGCAATTTTTGGCCTCGGAGTCGCCGCTTGAAAAATGGCAAAGGGTTAATAGAAATACGTCCATCGCGAATCAGCCACGCGAAAAAACACACCGCGACGATTTCATTGACTTTTTGTCCCCTCGTTTAGCCGATCTATACAATTTCCTCGGTTCTATATCTGTTTCGGGGACTCGTTGTGCTTTTATTAACCTGTCAGATTAGATCCGCGGTTTCGTACGCGATTCATTTCATGCTTTCGTTAATCATCCGAAAGCTTTAAACGAGATTGATTTTACTAATGCATACGGATATTTAGAAGCTGTAGTGAACCTAAAATGTAATTTCTGCTCGCAACAGAAGTCACATTTCCGAACTTCTTCTAATTGTTTTAATTAAACGTTCGTGGATCCACCGTCGTCGGACAAAAATTCTGCGCTTCTTAAAATCTCGCGGCGCGGCGTAACGCGAGCGTTTCTGTTCTGTTTTCGGGCCGGAATAAAAGAAGAAAAGCCAGTCGGTTCAGCAGATACCGTTCCAATATTTAACGGCAACTGAGCTTAATATTCCGGCTAGCGTTTAATTAAGTTTGCGCGCGCGGGGCAATACGGGCACGATGCTTTCAGATATAATGAATCTCATAGTCGCGAGTCTCGTTGCGACATTCGTCTTCCGCTTCGTTAAAAATTCCAGCGAGCATTGCACGAATCGTGACGCGATTTCCATCTACCGATGACAATTAGAAATTCACGCGAACGCGTTTAAGGCGGCGATCGCTGGCCCGCGGATTTTTTATACAAAATAAGAACTGTTCGCGCTAATTATGTTTCCACGGTCTCGCGTTTCGTTCGCCGATTTTTCTCTTAAATGCACGAAATCCGTGGTCCGGTGACACGAACGCCGTTTTGTGGTTTTTCGGGTTTTTTCTTTATTTTCGTAACCGTATAGCTGTGTCAATAATTAATAAAAAGGTGAACAAATTGTACCACAGAGGGACCAAAATTCAAACCATTTTCATTCACCAATTTCTTTATTGCGATTAGAAATTTGTCAACCACGATAAAATTGATGTTTATCGCTAATACGATATTATATTACGATATTATGTTCGATGTTATATTACGATATTATATTCGATATTATATTACGATATTATATTCGATATTATATTCGATATTATATTACGATATTATATTCGATATTATATTACGTTATTATATTGCGATATTATATTCGATATTATATTATGATAATATATTTAATATTACATATTCGATATTATATTACAATATTATATTACGATATTATATTCGATATTATATTACGATATTACATTCAACCGAAATTTACTTGAATGCTTAAATATATCAATGACAATAAATTAGAATCATATTCCAATCTTAAAGAACGCAATATAACATCCACAATCAATAACACATTACCAAAAAAATGTTCATCACGAGTCAGCCGCATAAAAATACCACAACGATTTAACCCTATCCGTACAGTTTCTTTTTTACCCTCCCGCGGTCGAGTATGGCTGGTCCTAAAAATCGTGACATCGTTTAACAAAATAATTTCGACATTATCAAATATTTTCGCATTTCGAAAACCGTGAAAAAAAGCGCAACGGTCGGCCGGCTCGCGAAATTCAATCTGACGCGTATAAAATGCGCCGGGTTGCGCGAGAAGGAAATACATACATACATACATACATATACACGGTGGCTCAGAAAAAGCTATTTCATATTTCGAGTGGGAACAGTCGCCGACTGCGAAGTGTTAATTTCGAGAGCATTTACGACGCGGCACTTTTTACCGTTTTCGGGCCGCGCCCTCGCCCGCAACACGCCGATCGGAAAAACTGCAGTTTCGCGAGCATTCGTTGAAACAGGAGCGCGAAAACGCGGCAGTTCCTCCGGAAGACCGGTCAGGGACACGTAACCCCTTCGAATGTCGTCGTTGCGCACACGAACGTTGGAAATCTCCGGTCAAAGACAGGGTGCGACGCGAGGCGCGGCGAGGCGAGGCGACGCGTCGGGCAAATAGAAAAATCGTGCGATCCATAAACTCACCAGAACTTTCACCATGTGTATACAGGTCAGCACTAGAATCCAGCCAGGTCGAATCGGCAGCCAGGCAGTTTAAAATTCCCGAGTGCAGCACGCCGTAAGGTTCCGCTGCAACAGATTTCATTTTATTTGATTCCTTTCTCCGCTTCTTTTTCTGTTTTCATCGTTTTTAGTTCGCCGCGCGCCGGTTAATGGAAGGAAGCTGTCTGCCGGTGTTTGCCCGGCAAATATTTGAAAACAACGGAAGATGAAAGGAGAGAAAAAGAGAGAGAGAGAGAGGAGAGACGGCCGCCATTTAGCGGACGCGCTTCGGAAAATCCGGTCGCGCGGACGTCTGCGAGGTGTCGCTGGCTTTCCGGCGTTGCACACGCACAATCGCAATTAAGATCCCGGTGCCGGACACTTTTTAATTATGCCGCGGGCTCGTCCGCGGGCTCTAACGAAGCGGCGGGAACCGCCTGTTGCCGATTCGCTAACGAAGTCGCCGCGAAGAAAGGCCGAAGGAGACGAATCGCCGGCGAACAGCCAGCCGCGCGCGGCATTCCCGCGCGGAATGCCGGCTCGGCTGGAAATCCGCGCCGCGGATTCTAAGTCGCCGCGTCGTATCCGCCGCGCCGGCGAGCCTCTCGGGGACCCTTTTGTTCCGTGATTCTGCTCATAATTTTGTGTTGACGCGTCGAGAGGGCACCGGATAACGAGAACCCGCGCTCCTTTCTTTCTCTTTCCTCTCTCTCTCTCTCTCTCTCTTTCTCGCGCGCGCTCTTTCGCCGTCTTTCTTACTATCTCTCTCGCTCTCTCTCTATTCGTCTCTCTTTCTCCGCGTCGCCTATCCCGGGGTCTTGGATTTTCTAGAATTCCCCGAGTCGCGTCCTCTACCCGGTATTGTAATTGTAGCACGCCGGAGCGGGAATTTGTTGCGCGGAACACCGTCGTATTTACTCGGCCAAATTACGTAGTAAATCAACCGGCGCGACTTCCAGCGCGTCCGTGCGATGCTTCGCGCGGGTTAACAATCGCGATGGAAAAATTGACAGGCCGCCGGAGGAGCCAGTTACTAACCGTGGCGCAGCCAATTACCGTGCCTCCCGTTTATTTTCTAGCATAATTGACTCCGCGTTTATCGTGCAAGACGTTCGTTCTCTGGCGTAATTAACGCTACATTTAGCCCGTGAGACGTGTCAAACGTTTGTTCATATTTTTTTGTTTCAATTCATTCAACTGTTCGTTCGTTAAAATTGAACCCTTTTGTGTTTATTTTTTGAACGACGAATTTTGTCGCTTCGCTCGAAATTCGTTTCACAACGTATTTACAGGCTTCGTGGATTTATTGTAAAATCGAGTAGTTGCTGTTTGAGAGAGTAGAAATATTCGGAGAATTAAAAAATGTCGATGCATTGTTTTTTCGATCTATTAAAATTATTAAAGAAATTAAAGACGACTATATATACATATATTATATTGTTTATTAATAATATATTAATATTATTATATATGATATAACAAT